CTTTCATGAGGCTCTTTGTGGCTCTTGGAAGATAAGTGTGTTTGTCTTCCTCCTGTAAATTTTCTACTGATGATTTAATGAAAGTGTTATTGATAAAAATAAAAATAAAAACTTTAGAGGGAGATAATCACCTCCTAATAGAAATTTGTGAGACATCACATTAGTTGTTTTCCTTGCTATGTGGTGCAGGGTAACTCTTTCGCTGTCACCATTTTTAAATTGACTTTCCTTTTCCCATCACTGTTTTGTATTTATTTATTTATTAATCAAGGGGGTAGCCCATCCCCCAAATGCTGTACCCCCCCAAACCCTCAAAGACAGGATTTGATTTCAGGTCTCAGCTACAACCAGCAGTAGACTTTACCATCAAGTTAGCTGGAACCTTCTCTGAAGCTGCCAGCATTTTTAGTTCAATTAATAACATATAGAGAAGCATATGGTTGTGAATGTGTGATGCACATCATACATGTAGGAACATGATCTCTCTGTAATTTGCACTTGTTAGTTTATAGGACATGGTCCTTTAGTGGAATAGTAAATGGAGTTTTAGTAATTTGGAAATCCTTAGATTAAAATTCACAGATGGATAACGTTAGAGTAGTATTCTTTCTGGACTAGTAAATCATCATGTCGTGAAAACATGTTTAGAAATTCCAGTATACAATTTTGGCAGAAAACTGTCAAAACTCCAAATCATCCATTAAAAATTAGAAATTACCTCATTACCAATAATCTCTACAAGAACATTGGTTGTCCCTAAACCGATGAAACCGGTTGTTGTCTCTAACAATAATTTCTCTCCCAACTATGCCTGAAATGAATTTGATTGCACTGTGACAATCTCCACAGACCCTGAGGTTCTTGGTTATCCTTATAGGGACACCAGGAGGAATAGAGATCAGCCCAAATGCAAGTGCAAGTTTTTCACTATGGTACCACACCTCAGTCTCTTTCTCTTCCTCCTCCAAATCATACAAAGCAAAATTGGTGTCTGGAATGTATCCAGCTGCCTTCATTTCTCTCTTCAATTTCAATAGCATTGCCTGGATTTCAAGGTTTCTCTCATGGGAGGTTTCTTTTGCTTGGAAAACATGGACCACATTCTTTACTGCGATCCAACTGCATCCTGGGCCTTTCTTGATTCCCACCTCTTTCATCTCCTTCCTGACAATTGTGGCTTCTTCCCACCTATATCAAAATGTTAAGGTAATTAGTTGACAGGGAAAAATTCAAGCATGCTTGTGAAAGATTTACCAACCAGAAATCAAACATTCAAGATGAAATCAGCCACATTTCCTAGTTCCTACTTCCAAAGTTGTTCCGATCAAGTGCATGGATCAAGAGCTCAAAATTTTACCAGGTTCAACCTAGGAATATGTTAGGCTCAAAACCAATTCAATTGACTGGATATAACCTGTCCAACCCAAAAGATCACATGCTTTTCCTTCCATCATTTTTTCCTGGGCAAATTTCATTCCCTCCCAATTTTGTCTTCAATTACAAATTCTTCCATGTTGTAAACTATTTATATTTGTATTCAACACACTAAAGTTTGTCTTCAACAACTCCCCTATAAAACCCAGACCCCATTTGAAATTTACTTTAATAACATTTCTGCCCATCAAGCAAACTGGCAAAACGAGTAAACCTAGTTAACCAATAAAGGCAAACAAGTTCTCCCCTATAATTTAATTCTCTATGTATGCACTGAATAAAATGAAGTTTGTTTTCAAATCTCTCATAAAAAAGCTAAGCTGATTCAAAATTTTAACGACTCTTTTCCCCCAAATGAAACCAGAAAAATAAAATAAAGTAAAACAAATTAACCAATTACATTTTTTGCAATCCTAATTAGTATAAAAAATGTAGTATACATCCAAAAAATGCCGAAAATAAGTTATATGTACAAGTTAGTTCCAACTTTTGGACATTAACATTCACATCACCTTTTCCACTCAAAGAATTTATAGTATTATGAAAATTTTTAGTTTAGGATAATACTTTATGGACTAGTTTAAAACTATTCCATTTAAAATATCAAAAATAAATAAGCAGTCAACTTTATCATCCTATGTAATTTTAAGTTAAAATCATCATGGAAAACAAGTTTGAACTTCTATCTTGGTATTCATCAAATACTACAATGAAAGGTTTTTAACTTTTATTATAGTATTCACTTTGTTACCAAGTTGTTGAAGCACAGGGGCCAAAAAACGGTATAGGGGAGAAACATAATTTCAGGAAAAGTTTCGCAGAAAGTGAATCACATCCTAAAGCTAAATGACCTTAAATAATGTATTCGACTGGTCAGTGTTGAGAGTAAAAAAAGAATATTTTGAAAATGTAATTAAGGGTAAAAGTGGCACTAAACTTTATAAGGAATATTTTGAAAATATAATTCAATTTATTAGGCACAAATGCAAATTGTTAAGTACAAGGGAGAATTTGTCATTATAAGTTCAAGAGAGACGACCCTTCTTTTCCTTTCTTCTGGGAAAGATAACTATTTTCTATCATATATCAAAGAAAAAATGATTTTACGTGAAAAGATGTACAATTACAATCTTCAACAGCAAAGTTCTCATTAAATTTAAGGTTATTGAAAATTACCTGCCAGAGGCTGCGAACATATTTGAAAGCAGGACATGGTTGCCAGAATCTTGTGGATCAAGTTGAAATAACTTCTCAGCTGCTATCTTTCCCAGTTCTGGCTTTCCATACACTCTACAAGCCCCTAGCAGAGCTCCCCAAACAGATACTGTCGGAGGGATAGGCATTTTCCTAATAAATTCATAAGCACGATCGACCATCCCAGCTCGCCCTAGTAAGTCCACTATGCATGCATAATGCTCAGCACCTGGCTCAATCCCATATCTCCCTTTCATTGATTCAAAGGTCTGCATCCCCTCCTCCACAGCCCCAGCCCGACTACAGGCTGATAGTACACAGACTAGTGTGACATAATTAGGTACAATCCCATTGGCACCTTGTGTCATCTCCTCAAGCAATGATAGAGCCATGTCAGCGTGCCCTTGATGGGCATACCCACCAACCATTGCATTCCAAGAAATTAAATTCCTCCTAGGCATCTCATCAAAGGCAAGCTCAGAATCTTCTATACTTCCACATTTGCCATACATGTCTACAAGTGCACTCCCAACATACACATTCCCTTCGACACAAGCCTTTACAGCAATGGCATGCACAGACCTTCCCAACTCGAGTCCAGCCAGTCCAGCACAAGCACTAAGAACACTTGAAACCATGAAATCTGTCGGCCTAACACCCTCCCTCAGGGCATGCAAAAATGTGATACAAGCCTTCTCTTCCACATCATTCTGCTCATATGCTGTGATCATTGAACCCCAAGAGACATCATTGGGTTGAACAATTCTATAAAAAACCAACTCGGCAGATTTAAATTCCTTGCATTTCCCATAAAAATCAATAAGCCCATTTGCAACTGAAACGTCTGCATCAGAACCATTTCGAATCACAAACCCATGTAACTGACGCCCAAGCCGGAGATCTGAAGCATCAGAACACGCATTGAGAAATGCACAGAAAGTTATCGAATTTGGTTCTAAGCCTGCGTGTCGAAACCTGATATATGCACCAATAGCGTCATATGGCCGGCCATAGAGTACTGAATTTGAAATGTAAGCATTCCAAGTAGCAACATTCGGTTCGGGCATTTCATTGAATAATTTGCGCGCATCTTCCCTGAGGCCCGTCTTACAGTACATGTCGAACGCACTACAGCCAACAAAGACATCTCCCATCTGACCAGCCTTGAGTGCGAGTGCATGGATCTGTTTTCCAGTGAGCGGAGAGAAAAGAGAGCCCGTGGCCTTGAAGGCGCAAGGAAATGTGAAGTCGTTGGGTTGGATAGATTCACGGCGCATAGCAGAGAACTGAAGAAGAGCCGAGGCGAAATGACCGTTTTGTACGGAACCAGAGATGAGAGCGGTCCAAGTGACGACGGATCGTTCTGGGTTGAGTGAGAGGACGAGGTGGGCTGAGCTGAGGAGGTCGAGCTTGGAGTACATGTTGATAAGGTGGATGGAGAGGAAAGAAGGGAGAAGGCTGCCTAACGTCTTGATTATCTGAGCATGTGCAGCACGGCCGAAGAGAGTGGACTGAGCTGCCACGGCTGATTCCACCAGCGACGCTAGTGCGTTGGGGCTGAGATAGGGCATGGTTAGTGACAATGGTCATTGCTGGTTGCTGCTCGCGGTGGTGTGCAAGTTCTGCAGCATCGGAGTCTCAGAGAGAGAGAGAGAGAGGATCATATAACTGCCATAACGTTTATAACCGTAGACTGTAGCTCCTTAAAAATGTTACGCGTACAACTATTGGTTATTTGATTGGTGGATGGATGGATTATACAGACAGACATTCAGGAGCCCAATCGCCATCTTCATCTCCTACTTCAACATAAACAACCAATAAGATGGCAAGATTAAACTGTTGAAAAGTCTAACTTATAATTTTTCTCAAGTCTTTGTCTTGTCAAATTGAATGTTAGATTTTCATCGAAGATAGATATCCATCTTCTTTTTCTTCTCGAACATCTTGTTTTATTTTTCCATCTAAGCATTTCTCTATTTTGAGAGAAGTTATTTATCTTTTTTTTATTTTTTTTATTTTTATTTTCAAAAAAATAATTATTGTTTATTTTATTTAAATCATTAAAGCTTTATATTATTAGAGAGAAATAAGGTTTTTAAAACCGATCCAAACAATGAATCTGTTAGGAGTCCAGCTTCTGGGTTGAACGATCAGCCCATTCTAACAAAAAAAAAAATTATCAAAACCATTGAACGGTTCAAACAGTTCAACCGTATGGGTCAGCGGTTTGTTGACCAATTCAATGTTTTTTGGCAAAAATTCGGTTTTGGAGAAAAAACGGAACCGGTCCTGGTTTTTCCGGTCCAATCCGGTTTTGAAAACCATGGAGAGAAAGATCACAGGCATCTTATTTTAATTCATGTTATTATTAAAATAAGAGAAACTTTTTAAATGTTATTATTACATTTAAAAGAAACATTTAAGAGAGAAATAGAGAGTAGTAATAAGTCAAATAATAAAACACAAGTAACCAAAATACTATACCAGAATCCGGAACAATGGTCCTTGGACCTTAAATGGTTAGTGGGTTCTCATGCAACCTTGGGCCCCAAGTAGACCCCAGTATTCCTGAATCTCCAACAAGTTGAACTTTTGGTTCAACATCATGATCTTCCATTTGAAACTCTCTCAGTTGACATAGGAATAGAGGTGCAACTTGGGCGGGCCCTGCCCGAGCCCGAATCGACCCAATCCGGAATTTACATGGGCTCGGCTTGGATTTTTGGTCCTCGAGCTGGGCTTGGGGCTAAGAAGTATGGCTTTTTTATTTTTCAGGTCGGGCTCGAGCCTAGCTCTTAGGTAGCCCAAACCCGAGCCGAGCCTGGCCCAATTATATACATTTATACAATATATATATATATGTAAATGTTGCATACATATTTACACACACACACACACACACACACACACACACACACACACACATATATATATATATATATATATATATATATATATATATATATATATTTGCATAAATACATTTATATATGTATAATTTTAGAGTGGGTTCATTAACCAATCCAAGCCTGAGCCCAACCTGAGTGCATCAAATTACAGGGTGGGCTGGGCTCAGGTTGGGAAAATCGGGCTTGACCTCAGGCTCGAGCCTTAAGCCCAAATTTTAGGGCCAAGCCTAGGTTGACCATAAACCCGGCCCAACCTGCTCAACTTGCACCCCTACACAGGAAGACCTCTATTTGAAAGGCTAGGCCCTACCCGATTCATTTCCGTTGTTCAAAATTACATTCATGCAAAAGTAATTATTTTTGTCAATAGACCTCTGAAAATCGGTTGCTTTATCAGTATTCATAACTGGGTTACCTACCGCTATGAGGATCTTCCCTAGGTTTGTTATTTATGTGGGAAAGTAGGACATCTGTTTCGTCGATGTTCTCAGCCTATGCCTCATATCATTGATCGATCTTATGAATAGTATTTTAATCGTTGTCCTATGAATCTTCCAGGGCCCTGGTTGAGGGCTAAACAAGCACTACGTCAATCTTGGAAGAGGTCGCAGTTTAGTGACTTTGTTAACCTTCCTCCTGCTTCTCCTTCTTCTCCAACTAACCATAATGATGAAGAAACTCCTGAACCGACAACCAATAATTTGACTTCTCAACCCCGTAATGTCTCTTCGGATAATCTTCAGCCAAATCTGTTAGTTGTGTCATCACCATCAGGACCACCCCTGTTCGAGTCTCCTCTGAAACTTTTTAGGTGGCCATCAATACCCAATCTTTATTTAATCGGTTGATGGATGACCAGCCTAGTCTGTCTTCAATGTCTAGAGGAAAATGTCCTCATGTGGACCTGTTGTCAGGACTTTATATAGAGTCTGCTACCCCGCTTCCCATTTATAATAGACCAGAAATGTCAGAGCCCTCTTCATCAACTGAGCATCTCATTCCAGTGGATCATGTAGAGTATTGAGACTCTGATTCTGAACCTGAACATCAGCTCTCGATAAGGGTAATTTTATTTATTTTCACTTGTTTTTCTTTACTGTGGGCGGAGGTGGCTGGCCCTTATCAACCCCATCCTATCCATGTTAATCATTAGTTGGAACTGCTGAGGGGCCTCATGTTCTAAGGTAGTTCAAGGTTTGAGGGATTTTGTACATTGTTTTAATCTGGATTTTATTTTTTTAAGCGAGACAAAAATCCCTCTTGTTAAATTAGATAATACGATAAATAAACTTTGGTATCCTAATTCTTTTGTAATTAATCTAGAAGGGAGAGCGGGGGGATTAGCAGTCTTATGGAAAGTAGGGTTTGGAGTTTCTGTATTTTGGTCGCACTCCAAGTATGTGTTCCCTAAGGCTATGTTTGATTTGAAGGAAAAAGTAGGGAATGGAAGGGAAAGGTAGAGAAACCTTTACAAAGCTTGTATAGGTTTCATTATCTTTCCCTTCCTTTCTTCAATCAAATTCTAACTATTGGCTTATAGGCTTCATATATGGCCCATCTGTTAAACATCATAGGAATAAATTTTAGGCAAATTTAAATGCTTCATTGCAAACAATTGACTTTCCTTTTGTTCTAATAGGTGATTTTAACAAAGTAGTTTCATTAAACTCACTTGATCCTTCATCTTCATCCTTTAATATAACTCAACTAACCTCAACCCAATATAGAAATTTAATCTTAAATCATAACTTGTTAGAAAAATATCTTCAAGGTGGTGGAATTTGTTAGTCAAATAAAAGAAGTACGGGACATATTCAAAGAACTTTAGATAGAGCAGTTATGTCCCCGGATTGTTTACATTTATTCCCAAATGTTTCTTTATCTCTAGGTTCAAAATGGGGATCTGATCATCATCCCTTGTTCCTGAATCTCCACCCTCATATTCTAAACCTACCTAAGCGTTTTAGATTCTTTGAGATGTGGTTAGCTGAGTCTTCCTGCACACAAGTGATGGAGGATGGTTGGAATTGTCAGATCAATGGACATGAGACATATAGGTTAACCCAGAAGTTGGGCAGGGTAAAGAAAAACTTAATCAACTAGAAAAGACAATCATATCTAGATCCAAAAGATAAAATGAAAAAATTAGAAGCTCAAATTATACAGGCAGAACAATTGGAAGATTCCTCTACCTTAAATAGCTTGTATAAAGAATATGAATCTACTATGTAGCAATTGGAAAGTTTTTGGAGACAAAAATCTCGCCACACATGGTTGCATCTAGGAGATAGGAACACCAATTTATTTCATAAAATTACTCTCTTTAGGAGGAAAAGAAATTGTATTGAAGGAGTTATGGATGATAATAATCAATGGAAATCCTCTCATGAAGATATTGCTAAGGTCTTTGTAGAATATTTTTCAGAGCTCTTTTCATCCCAAGATCCACAGGAAATTGAAGAGTTACCTCATTTATTTAATCTGATTATTAATGAAGAGGACAATACCAAATTTCTGAATATTCCATTTGAAGAAGATGTTAAATCGGTTCTTTTTAGCATAGGAAGTCTGAAATCTCCTGGGCCAGATGGAATGCCAGCCTTAGTTTTTAAGGATTGTTGGGATTTGATGGGTTCAAATATAGCACAAGTGGTTCAGGAATTCTTTAGAAATAAAAAACTGTTAAGGAGGTTAAATCATACTTTTATCTATCTTATCCCAAAAAAGATTGATTGCACAAAAGTCCAAGACTACAAACCTATCAGTTTATATATTGTAATTTATAAAGTGATAGCTACACTGATAGCATCTAGACTACGTACTCTCCTAGATAAATGTATAGCTCCAAATCAAGTAGCTTTTGTACCAGGTCGTCATATGTCTGACAACTCCATTCTAACTTAGGAAGTTTTCCACTATTTAAAACATAAAAAAAGAGGTACAGGCTTCATTGCTTTAAAGTTAGACATGTAAAAGGCCTATGACCATCTTGAATGGAGTTTTCTTTTGAAAATCCTATCTCTTCTTGGTTTTTCAAATAACTTTTGTCAAATCATTAAAAAATGTACATCCTCAGTTTCCTATTTCGTACTCATTAATGGTGCTTCAGAATGACATTTTTTCCCTTCTAAAGGTCTAAGACAAGAATATCCTTTATCTCCTTATTTATTTTAGCAATGGAGGGTTTAAGTAGTCTCCTTTTTCAAGTAGAACATGAAGGAAAGATACAAGGCATTTCCATAACTTCTACTTCCCCAAAAATTTCCCGTATGTTTTTTGTTGATGATGTCATGCTTTTTCTACGAGCTCATAAGGAAGACTTAGATAACTTACTCCAAATTATTACCAAGTTTCAACAAGCATCTGGCCAAATGATTAATTTTGAAAAATCTGGAGTATTTTGTAGCAAAAATATTCATCGAAGGCATCAACGTATGATCAAGAGACAATTACACATAGGCCCTCTGAATAAAAATTCTAAATATTTAGGCATCTTCCTCTCTTTTGGTCCCGTAATAGGCATGCACAACTTAATTATATTCTTGAAAATCTGAAGGCCAAATTAAACAATTGGAGAGCCTCAACAATCAGTCAGGCTAGGAAGAAAATTCCGATCCAATCAGTGCTTCAAGCTATCCCTATTCATACTATAAGCCTTATTAAATTTCCCCAGAAAACTGTAGATCAAATGAATAAAGTGATTAAAAGTTTCTGGTGGGGTGTTTCTTCTTCTCGTAAACATCCCTATTGTTGGTGTTCATGGAATGTTCTCATGTTACCCAAATCTTATGGAGGTGTAGGTTTCAAGAACCTTAATCTCGTTAACCATGCTCTTCTCAAGAAAGTGGCCTGTAAATATTTAAATGAACAGTACAAATTATGAGCTCAGATTTGAAAATCAAAATATATGAAAAATCATAACATTATTCCTTACTCCACAGCCATTACCGGTTCTATTTATTGGAAAGTTGTTTGTCCTAAAATAA